TTTCCATTGATGTATGGTTTGTTAGGATCGGACAATATTTGGCTGAGATGCAACTATTTGAAAATCTGGAATCTGAGGGTGCAAAAAAATTTAAATATTGAGAAAATCGCCTTTAAAGTTGTCCAAATGAAGTTCTTAGCAATGCATATTACTATTCAAAAATTAAGTTTTGATATATTTACAGTAGGAAATTTACAAAATATCTTCATGGAACATGATCTTTACTTAATATCCTAATGATTTTTGGCATAAAAGAAAAATCGATAATTTTGACACATACAATGTTTTTTTTGGCTATTGCTACAAATATACCCGTGCTACTTATGACTGGTTTTGTTCTCCAGGGTCACGTATATATATTTTATATACATTTTTCAGCTGATATTCGACATTATGCATTTGCTTTGAAAATATGTAAACTATTTTGATATTTTTTCCACCATTTTGATTTCCACCAAAATCCTTATAAATATATCATTATTAAATAGTCCAGCCAAAAATGAAAATTCTCACTCAAACCTCAGTTGGTAAGCAAACAGTTTCGGCTCCCCTTGACTTCCATTGTATGGACAAAAAATAAATAAAATGGAAGTCAGTGGGAACGAGAAATTGTTTGTTTACCAACATACTTCAAAAAAAATCTTATTTTATGTTCCCCAGAAGAAAGCAACTCATACGGGTTTGAATAAATGATATGAATTTTCATATTTGGAGGGACTATGCCTTTAACAGCGTACTGTATGTGCTGGGTCGGGTGGCTTTTCATCAGACTGACCAGTAGACAGCACTTGGTGAAGGAGGCACTTGATGAGGGTGGAGGTGAGGTGCAGGTCTGAGAACAGCAGACTGAGGCCAGAGTAGCCCACATCCCTCAAGCGCAACCTCTGCTTGCTCTTCTCATACACACGGTCACACTTCAGCATCCGCTCAAACAGCTGCAGAAATACACAACCACATACACACTCATAGCACATGCATTTGACAAAGATTCGACATTTCATTTTAATTTAACACGGTCATTATCAAATATTTTATAATGCATTAGGGCATCACATAAAGCAAATTTATACTTAATGAGCATTCTAATATGAATATATATCAAAATATAGTTATTGTGTCTTTTCAAATTATTAGAGTGAATAATAAGTAAATATTAAGCTCATTACGCAACTACAATTTTACATTTACTGCTGCAGTGCAGTTGCTAAGGTGTCCAAACAGCTGATAAAAACATCACAATATTTGTTTTGGACTGTCTTGGCTTGTGCATGATCTGTGCATATTTCTCTCCTGATTCAGACCGGAGAAAGCAATATTATAGATAGAAGACTCGTATTTTAGCTGGTTTGAAGTTAAAAACAACTTGATGTATTATTTCTTACAAAAACGCAGCTTTTCACTTCACAGGATATTAACTGATGGACTGGAGTGGTGTGGATTATTGTGATGTTTTTATCAGCTGTTTGGACTCTCATTCTGACGGCACCCATTCACTGCAGAGGACCCACTGGTGAGCAAGTTCTCCAAATCTGATTCCCATGACGAAACAAACTCATCTACATCTTGAATGGCCTGAGAGTGAGGACATTTTCAGCAAATTCTCATTTTTATGCAAACGATTCCTTAAAGCTGTCGCTTTTTCAGATCTCTAACTGACGGAAGTTGCTTTAGAGAAGCTGCTCAGAGTATGAAGCGCACCTTGAAGACGAGCTCTCGGAGGCGGTCGGAGTGTTTGTTGTTGAGCAGCAGAGCGTAGCAGGAGTCGGCTGCTCCCGGTTCAAACAGCAGCAGGAAGAGCTGGTCCCGCGCCGTGCTGGTCTGCAGCAGAGTCAACAGCAGCTCCAGGATCCCACACAGCTGCAACAGCACAGACACTGATTTCTATTCCATGTTTAGTTCATGTTTATTGCTAATAAGTGATAAGAGCAGGAGAAATCGGAAGAGACAGAGATTAAATGAATTGGCAGGGCAGTAAATCCGGTTTGCGGTTAAGCACATCGAGGTTTAGGAATAATTCAAATGGAGAAAGACAGAGGACGTTTGCTCTTCTGATTAGAAAGGGCAAATCAATAACAATAAAGGAGAGTGCTTCTTTCCTAGACACACACACACACTCAGACAAAGAGTTAGACATTACCTTATCACCATATAGAATGTGCAAAATGGCACATTTTCAAAAAAAAAAAAAACTAGACTGACTCTGAACAACTAGTCGGTGTTAAGGAAGCCTTGTGCAATCAGGCTGACAGTTAGCATATTTCTGTTTAAACATTTTTGAAATGTGATTTAAATGCAGAATTATGAACAGAAGATATTTTAATTTGCAATCTTATAATAAAGTAGCTAAAAGTTATCTTAATAATTCATGTAACTGATAAAATAGCTAAAATAATGCTCAAGAAAAACTAAAAATTGATAAACCAACTAGTGAAAATACTGAAAAACGATTTAAAAATTCCCTGAAATTTAGTCTTGCAACTTAATTTAAACTTAAAGTCCCTCCTTGTGCAATCAGGCTGACAGTTAGCATATTTCTGTTTAAACATTTCTGAAATGTGATTTAAATGCAGAATTATGAACAGAAGATATTTTAATTTGTAATCTTATAATAAAGTAGCTAAAAGTTATCTTAATAATTCATGTAACTAATAAAATAGCTAAAATAATGCTCAAGAAAAACAAAAAATTGATAAACCAACTAGTGAAAATACTGAAAAACGATTTAAAAATTCCCTGAAATTTAGTCTTGCAACTTAATTTAAACTTAAAGTCCCCCTGTAGTCAAATATTTTATCCCTTAAAACTTATCTTTGATAATCAATCAAACATATTTAAATTCAGCAATGGTGTTGATTAATGGATTCGCACATGGTTCGTCTAAAAGCATATTAAAAACACCACATAGACAAATAAACAACATAAAAAACTTGATTTTCACTACAAGGGGACTTTAAATTAATGAATACCTTGCTAACTTTGTAAATAGTTGTAAATAATGAACAATGCACTGCGGTGGTGATGATAAAGTGCACTCTTTTTAGAATTAAATAAACCAGCATGGCCAGAAAGAGACCGTAATCTTTCGTATAATGTTACAAAATATTTCTATTTCTAACACATGCTATTTTTTTACATTCTTCTAATCAAACAAACCTTAAAAATGTATCATGGTTTCCAAAAAAAATGAAGCAACACTGTTTTCAACATTGATAATAATCAGAAATGTTTCTTGAGCAGCAAATCAGCATATTAAGATGATTTCTGAAGAATCGTGTGACACTGAAGACTGGAGTAATGATGCTGAAAATTCACAGCAGTAAATGATGAGAAACTGCATCTTCCTCTTCTCACCTGTTCCTCATCTCCAATGGCAGCGATGTATCCCAGAATGCTGTGGATCTCCTCTTGGGTGGTTCCCTTGCTGATGTAATACTTCAGAAGGCCACAGAGAGAAGCTCTGATTGTCTTGATGTCGTCCTCACTCAAATCTGCATCTTTACTTCCAGAACTAGAAAGGAAAGAGAGAACAGATTTGATGGAGACTGACTTGATGGAGAGAGAAAGAGGTAGAACAGCTGTGAGGTGATAAAGGGATTGTGGAAGATGTAGTCTAACCCATAATAAAGGCGAACTGTGTCCAGCAGGAACTGCACTCCATATTTCTTCCTGAACTGCTTCCTGCTGTCTTTGATGACGGTGGACATGTACTGGATGTGACCTTCACCGTGAAAAATACATCAAGATCAGCGCAAAAGTATAAGAGCCACAAAAAAACTGGGAGAGTGAACAGAGCAAAAGGCTCTGGAAGGATTTTCCCCATTCATTTTCTTCATAGGGATTTCAGAGTTTGGAAATCCGTCTTCCAGATTATGGGTAGTCCAGAGATTTACACGTTTAAAAAAAATTTTTTTTTTTTTTTGAAATCACAATAACTTGATGATTCGACAGAAGAATATATATGTATTTTCTTAAAATAAAATAAAAAAATATATAATATAATATAATATGATATAATATAATAGAGCTAATGGTTATGGAGGACTAGGAGTGACACTTAAAAATTAAATAATTTATTTTACATATTTTATAATAATGTAATTTAGTTATCAATTATCAATTATGAGTAATCAATTTAACAATTCAAACATTAAAATTAAAAAAGATAAATAAAATGATTGCATGGACAAATAGACTTTTACTTAATTCATTTTTTTAAATGTAGTTAAATAAAATAATGAAACTATACATTAAAGAAATAATTGACATTTTAAAAAGACATGTACACATAAATACTGCATAAAACACTTTACTCAATGTGTTTTAAAACGTAATTAATAAAACCATAAAGTAAATTAATAAATCATTTTTATGAGCACATTTTAAAATGCATTTAAAAATGTGCTTTTTTATTCATCTGTCAATCGATTTAGAAAAAAAAAATCAATTTTGCTATGTAGAAAATTAATGGGATTTTTACTTCCACAACCCGACTGTTGCTCTCTACAATCAGAAACTATTAAAACATTCAACAAAAATAATGACAATCAGTTTGTGTAACAAATGCATGCATGAACAAAACCGCTTGCTTGTTTAAACAAACATAAATGCAGCATGAATAAATCACACACACACACCGATGCGCAGTGGGAAATCTCCTTGGTTCCAGATGCTGAAGTTGAAGAGCAGGTGTGTGTGGAGCTGCTGCAGGAGCTGCGAGTTCTTCTCATACGTCATCTGCTCAGTCAACAGCTGAACCGCCACCAGCACGCTCACGTCCACCAGGAACGCTGGCAGCTGCGCACACACACACACACACACAGACAGCGAATGAAGACGTACACAGTGAAGGACTGAGGAACTAAAGGAAAGAGAACTATGGGTACCTTCTGCAGCAGAGCTCCTAACGTGGCCACAGCGTGGGAGTGCAGAAGGGTTTCCTGGTTTATAGGATGCCTCTGCAGGAAATGCTTGATCACCAGCAAGAACGTTGCCACGAGATTCTTCTCCAGTCTGGCCTCTGATTAATAAATGTTCACAAACATCATATTGCAACATTATTAAGACGTATTAATCAAAAATACAGAAAAGAGGCAGGCAGCGACATCTTTAAGGTGTAAAAGATCAGTCACACAACAAGCAAATAACATGGTTATTGTAGTATTATTTATATATTATTTATTCATATTTTTAATTAGCTATTACTTTTCATATTAATTTTAGTAATTTTATGTGCTTTTGTCTTTTTTACTATTTACTATGTTTCTACTTCAATTATATTTATTTCAGTTTGACTAACGTTAGTACTTTATATAGTAATAATAATAATTTAAACCTTTTTTCATTTTTTTTTTTTTTGAGTTTGACATTTAATATTTATTTATTTTTTTAATTTCAGCTTTATTTCTATTCATGCAAACAATTTTAACAGTCATAAATTTAATCATAAATACAGAAAAGGAGCAGGCGATGAGACCCTTGAGATGCAAAAGATCTTTTACTTTTTATATTTTCACTTTTTATTTTAATTTTAGTCATTTTGTTATGTGCTTTTGTCATTTTTACTATTTTTATATTTCTGTTTCACTTTAATTTATATTTATTTCAGTTTTAGTAACTTTAGTAATGAAACTTTTTTAGCAATTAAATTTAAATTAAATTAAAAATTAATTGTGATTAATTAGAAATTGAAGTTTTTCATGTAATATTTATATTTTATTCGTTTTTAATAGTTTGAGTTACTTATAAAGAGCGTGTGCTCACCTGACGCTCTGTTTGAGGGCAGTATGACCCAGTCTCCATCAGCGGGTGTGGCTGAGTCAGGGGTGATGAACTCTGACCCCGAGGGGTCCACGTGATGCAACTCAGGGGTTAAAGTCAACTGTTCCAAGACTGGGAGCAACACAGGAAGCCCTCCAACACAGTTGATCATGTCCTACAAATGATGAGAGAGCTTGTCAGCAGATGTTTAAGGAGAAGAAGAATAAGAGAAAACACACTTGGACAGATCACAACAGTCAGAGCAGAAATGGATGAAAAGCAAAGATCAAAGGAGGGGAAACGGCATACATACTTTGATATCCCAGTTGACCACTTTATTTCCTGTCAGGCGACCGTGCAGCATATTATGGGACAAATCCAGACAAATTGGGTTCCTACATGCCTGTACATGCAAAAGGACAGTGATTAGTCATGTACATGTTAAAGAAGTTATTTTGCAAATTTGTGATGTTACAGAGCAAATACATAAATGAGTGTTTATTTTTTAATTTCGGCCACTTGTGTGTCTCAGTAGTTGATTTTTATTCAAACTAACAGACATCAACTTTTTAGCATGCCTTAATAATTTACATACAATACCGTTTAAAAGTTTGGGGTCGGTAAAATGTTTTAATGTTTTTGAAAGAAGTCTCTTCTGCTCACCAAGGCTACATTTATTTGATCAAAAATACAGTAAAAACTGAAAATATTGTGAAATATTATTACTTAAAAATAATTCTTTTCTGTTTGAATATATTTTTTAAATGTAATTTATTCCTGTGCTCAAAGCTGAATTTTCAGCATCATTACTCCAGTCTTCAGTGTCACATGATCCTTCAGAAATCATTCTAATACGCTGATTTGCTGCTCAAGAAACATTTCTGATTATTACCAATGTTCAAAACAGTTGTGCTGCTTTTTTAACGATCCTTAGATGAATGGAAAGTTTAAAAGAACAGCACTGATTTGAAACAGAAAATGTAATGCATCTTTGCTGAATAAGTATGAATTACTGACATCAAACTTTTAAATGGTACTATATGCTACTTTTTAATAGCCTTATGCATAGAATTGTTTTACCCTTGTACCAGACCCAGAATTTCAATCTTCAAACATGAAAATCCAACATAAGCATCTGAATTATTACATGTAGAACTATAAACACGACAAAATAATCTGAAATAGTCACAAACTATTTAATATTAATTGTAAACTATTATTCATATGTTGATTCAAATGTTGATTTATCACTCAGTTGTGGTTTCAAAAAAAAAATGTTCCCACAAGTAATTAACTAAGACAACAGTGACATGAGACAAGATGTCAAAAGAAGGTCTTAAAAACTGCATTTTGTATTTACTTGCATTATCTTTGTGTAATATTAAAATTTGTTTGATGATCTGAATCTTTTAAGTGTGACAAATATGCATAAAATTTAAAAAACAGGAAGGGGGCCAACACTTTTTCACACCACTGTATATATATAAATCCATTAAGGTAAATATATTATTATTGTGCATCATTTTATATAGCTCAGCCCTAGTTTACACTGACCTATAAAGTCAGCTCACCTTTGGAGAATAGTGTACCAGAAGTTTGGGCGCCAGGTCTCCGAGTTCAGCCTCTTGACTTTTAAAGGGAGAAATACAGTTTGGTCCTGCGCTACAGAGGGCTTTGACGTGACTGGCTTGGAGGGGCTCGTGGAAGACCATGACACTTCCCAGCTGCCCTTGCAGTGAGGTGGGACTGCCCCACTCGCTGTCCTGAGTCCCGGCGGAAATCAGTTTGGTGACAGACTCAGGTTTGGTCCCTAGCAGGCCGCCCCAGCCCGGGAGGATAGTGCCAAATGACGAGCGTCCGGAGGGATTGCCTCCAGAAAACGGAGGATCAGGGATCTGAGAGGGAGGAGGCGTCGTGGTGCGGTGACCCGCTGAACCGATACAGCATGACGTGAAGGCCTGAGAGAGAGATACACACAATAAAAGACTTGACCGGACTGACACAGGGAGATTTGGGTGGGTTTTCAAATACAAAAAAGTATATAAAGGGTTGTTTCTCTCACCTCAGTCATGGTTGGGTATTTTAAAGGTGCTGATAGTTTCTGCTGTCCATCCACAAAGATGTAGACCAGACTCTGGCCAAACGGCCTCTTCCCCGGCACGTGAACGACACCAATACTGTGCTAAAGGTCAAACACAAACCGGACATCAATTCATCCGTGGTATATAAATACAAGTACAAGGAACTCGTCTTTGGTCATGTGACTCACCCAGAGCGAATCGCAGAAGCAGTAGTCAGGCAGCATGACGGTGACGTATTCTTTCTTAGTGCACACGGCAACCACAAGCACTCCGGCTGAACTGATAAAGGCCTCGAACCCGGTGCCGCCCGGGGTGAAAAAACTACACAAAAAACACACAAAACAATAAACCAGTCCTCATAGCTATCATAGTAAAAATAAATTATATACTACAATTAGAAGGGACACACACACACACACACACTGAAGACTGCAAATTTTAAACTGATTTTTTCCAATTTTAAATTGACGTGACAAAAATTGTTAAAAAAAATAATAACTAAAAGCATAAAACACAACATCAAGAAGCTAGAACATAAATAAATCAAAAACAGCAAGATGTATTGCAACAGCTAAATACACAATGTGCCGAAGATGCAAACAGACAAAGAAATAAAAAATGGGGCACACAAAACACACAAACTTGTCCTTTTAAAAATTCACCCCTATTCCTTATATCATACAATATATTATACAATATTTACAAAATATTTGTAATGATTGTATTGTATACATTTTTTCTAAAAATGTAATAAAAATAGTTACAAATTAATGAAAGAAAGAAAAATAACTAAAAAAAACAAACATATCTTGGTGCTAAAATACTACCATTCAAAAGTTTGGGTACAGTAAATTGATACTTTTATTCAGAAAGGCTACACTACATTACAACTGATCAACAGTGATGGTAAAGACACAATATTTCTATTTTAAATTAATAAATAGAATATTTTTAAACTTTCTATTCATTAAATATTGTATTTGTGTGTATTATGGTTTTCACAAAAAAACAAAAGTTTTCAAAAACTGTTTTCAATACTGATAATAATAATAATGTTTTTTCAGCAGCAAATCAGCATATTAGAATGATTTCTGAAGAATCATGTGACACTGAAGACTGGAGTACTGATGCTGAAAATTCAGCTTTGCATCACAGGAATAAATTACATTTCACAATATATTCAAATAGAACGCAGATATTTCAAACTGTAATAATATTTCATAATATTACTGTTTTTACTGTATTTCAAATAAAAATATATGAATAAATATAGCCTTGGTGAGCACAAGACACTTTATAAACAAACATTATAAAAAAAACGTATATATATATATATATATACATATAAAACGGTGGTGTATATAATGAACGGAATAAATACTGAAAAAATGGAATAAAAGTCTGAAAAACTGATTTTTTCCTTCTTCCTTTCCCACCAAAAATCACCATCACACCAATCTCTTTGATTTCCATTCTCACCTATATAGCTGCTTCCTCTTCTCTCCTTTACTGGGCGGGCCCAGCTGATCTTGGTCCAATGACAGCCAAGCAACGAAGCTGAAGGCGGAGCCTGGCCAACGGAGGATGGTCGGCACGGCGATGCCAGCCATGGGCGGCGACAGATCAAAGTACTGCATGGCGCTCTCCAGGCCCTGTTTGCGCACCATCCCCAGGAGCGCCCGCAGCACCGGACCCACATACGGGTGAGCGCGGCCCGGCTCGTCCTGACGCAGGAGTCTCAGCAGATTCTGGAGCTCAGAGGAACTCAGCGACTGGCTGCCTAAAGATCCCAACAGGCCCACCAGACTCTCGGCACAGGCCCGGTGCAGCCGCTCGTGTCTCTCCAGTGCCGACAGCACTCTGGCAGTCATGCAGGAGTTGACGCAGGTGGCTCGCGTGCACCGGTTCAGACCGCAGATGCGCCGGAGCCAGTCGGCAGTGAAGATCTGCAGCTCGGCAGAGTCCAGCTCTGGAAGCCACTGGATCAGGAGCAGGAGAGGCTCAACGTTGCTGATGCCCAGGAGACCCACGGACGAATGCTCACCCTCAACAGCCTGCAGGAAGACAGCGATGAAAAGAGAGAAAGTGAGACGGCTCCGTTCCAAACGTAGTGAGCTGCCCACTTAGGGAGAATTTAAAGGTAGGTCAGATCACTCAAGACAGATGTAAATAGCAAGTGTAAGCATCCTGATTGTCTTCTATATAGCTGAATCAAACAACAGTTATTGAATTCAACTGAATCAACACTGAACTGATTTGAGATGAGTAATGACACTTTTTAGAGCAGAATTTGAATTTGTCTCATATTTATGGAAGCCCGTTTCCGCCACTGAATAAAAAAGTAAAAAAGGTAATTGCGACTTTTTTTCTTGCAAGTGTGATTTTACATCTCAGAATTGCGTCATATAAATTCACAATTCTTTTTTTTTTTTTTTTTTAAATTTGTGAGATATCCAGTTTAATTCCCATTTC